GCTCATCAGCTACGCGGACACGAGCGCGTGCTCACAGCTGCGGCAAGAGCGGAAAGAACTGGAGCTCTGCTCTATGGTGCTCTGCTATCATTTCGTTTTCTCAAAATTATAGTAATTAAATTAACCCATTGCGTACCGCGGCGTTTTTTGGCTGGCTGGCGCGTGTGGCCGGCGCCTATTTAGACCCCCGCCGCATGCTGCGCGATCCATATAAAACTTTCATTTATATTATAAACACCTATTATATAAGCACTGCGCATATATCTTACACATTTGCAGTATTTCATGTTTATTTTTGTACAGTGGAATTAGTTATTATTGCATGATATAGGGAGTAGGGTAACCGAAAATGCGACAGAATTGAAAAAAGAGTTTTGAAGAATATAACAAGTGGAAAAAGAGCTGAAAGTGATTGAAACGTAGTAGCTTTGATTGTTTTATATGCTCGAAGTTGTCGCTTAGCCGTTCCTTCACTTTTACTACAATTTAGCGAAAAAATTGAGAGGTGCAACTGGAGTTTTTCACAACAAATACCAGTAATTCAGGAATTCCTTCGCATTGCGCAGTCCCACGTCTGTATGTTATTCTCCGGATTCAGTTTATCATTACTATTAGATTAGAGCACGAGAAAATGTCGAAAATACCCTTCAAAAACCCGTGCTTCACCATGTGCAGCACGCGGTACGCAATGGGTTAAATGAACACAGCCGCATCAGTGTGATGCGTGTATGATATCTGTTGCATCGAATATCTAATTCCCTATATCGTAATCCACTCTGCGTGCGATCTCCACGGCTAGCATTATATAACAGGGCGTGCCGGTGGATGGACCAAAGTTGGCGCCCAATCAACATCTTATAGCATCTTTTCAAATGCAGCTTTTGCTCCAGCAACACTTCATGTCTTCTCGACTGAACCCGTGCATCTTTTCGCTAGATTAGTAGCAATTTTATAGACCCATGTGCTTCAAATAAGCAATTTTCCAGCTTCGAAATCAGGCCCTATGCAAGTAATAGCGTCAAAAAATTATTTCCCCATGAAGCTTTTCCTATAGCGGTGATCGAATGTTGTGGTCACGAGGTGGACCCTTAATTTTAACGCTCACGAAAAACCACACCAAATTAGCGCAGTGCTGTGTTGGCCGACGTTGACCGACTAAAGCTCTTTGTCGTTCAGTGTTAAGCCGTTAGCGATGTCTAGTGATACGAGTTGATTGCACGATAAGACATTGTCAGCTAGAAATATCGTTTTCAGTTCAATTTGTTCTCCATCTACCCAAGGCATTCTCTTTTTCTCGCCTTCATGGCAGTACACCTTGCCTTTCCTTCTTTGATAATAAAAGTTACTAAAAGTCGCTGCTATCAAAGGACCTGGTGAACGCACAAAGCCTGAGTACAAGGTTCAGGATTGGTTAGAGTAAAGTGATGGAGGACCCAATTAGCCAGTGACATTATTAGCGTCTATGCATTTATCCAGCGAATCTCACATGACCTTTAGGACGGAGGTATTCACTGCCATAGCCAGAAATGACATTCATATTAACGCCTAGCACAACAGGGCCAACATGCCGGAAGGTGTATGACGACCACAGAAGAATGGATGTCATCTTACCATGATGTATATTGCAATTGCACTTGAGTTCTCAGGGTTTGATTTGCAAGTTTATTATTGTGCGTTCTCACAGTCATTACCACAGAAAACGATACCTTAAAGGAATCTTTCCACGGAAAGAGTGATCATTTTGTCTTGTGTGTAGGATTAGTATTATCGAAACTAACGCTTATGTTCCGTTCTTTTTGCTATGCTCATGAGGCTAGGGGCCTAAGGTATCGTTTTTCTGTGGTAATGGAGGCGGAGCTTTTTCCGTGGAAGATTCCTTTTAAATGCATTTGGCAATGCGGCATATTCAGCAAAAAAATATTATGACCCTTTTATCCTTCTCTCAAATGGTCTCCTATTATCAAAGGCCTGGTGGATGGGGGCTTAGACAATCACGCGTGACAACATGGCACGAATTTATGAGCGTATTTTTTGGCGTACGACGGATGCCTGTGTGACTGCGGTCAAAAAGATGGATCCAGCGAGCTAGTGTCACAATTGCACTCACGATGAAAATTCAAGAAAAACTTACGGATTGTTGAAGATGCAAGCCAACACGTTCATTGTTGGCATTTTTGGCATGTTGCATAATTGATAATGACATCCATACTCAGTTGTTTTATAGTGAACTATCTGTAAAAAAAGCCAACTCTTCAGTCAATTCTCTGACAAATGTCCGGCATGCTCAAAGACGTTTGGGAGACATTCTGGGAAGCATCAAATTTTCATCGACTCTCTTTTTAAAGGCAGATTTTATGATGAAAAGGTAGCTTGTTCGAAATAAGGGTAGAGGTGGTCAGTGGGCAGGGATGGAGGAGAAACCACAAGAAACGCCCTGGAATTCCGAAAAAAAATGGGAACCCTTCTTTTCCTATTAATTTTTGCATTGATGCAACTCTCATCATCGTGCCCTCTGTCAACGCTCTCCTGGTCCACACGCCACGTATAAACCTGCGACGAGTGATTAGAGCCGTTGGTACAATAGCTAATGCGTCGAGGAAAGGCCATATTCTCCTTCAACGATTTTCTCTGAAATGAAATTTATTTTTGTTAAGCAGCGACGATTATCTAGACTATGCACACACAACATTCAAATAAAGAGGTTCAAGTCAATGAGAGAAAGACTGGCTTCGACAAACTGGTTGTCATCGAAGAGGTTAACACTCGCCGCCTGCCCTAAAAGCGAGCTAAATACTCACGCCAACAAGTTGTGGCGCTAAGGGAGCTCTCCAAGCCAGGTGTCAAAGTCTGCGACGCATCGTGCGATTCGCAATTTCTGCGATTGGGGCCATTTTTTAAAAACGCGCGTAGTCGCAAACAGCTTAACAAGGTCCCGTCCGTGTTCTTGTCGGTCGTAGTTCCAGTCAACCAATAGCTGGTCTGTCTCATTTGCGAGGTTTCTTTTCGTAATTAAATTTATATAGTGACCATAAACTGGTGACGTTGTGTCGCGGTAGTTTCGTTGCGAAGCTCTCTGGTCTTTCGCAAAATACGTTCCGCGGGGAAGGAATCTGTCATCGGGTATTTCAACAGGCCTACAGGAACGGAAAGGAAAACGATGCACAGTCTAGCACGGCAGGGAAAGATGGGCGATGTTGTGTTTTACTTTTTTGCATCTATATATTTTGATTTTCCCAGGTCTACGTATGTTTTTGCATAGCCCAATGCGGGTTTTGTGGTGGCTTTTTCTCTTAGTGTTGCCTATTTTCCGGAATCAATCATCCACATGGCCTTTGATTACGATTTGTAAGCCCAAGAGACAATGGGCAAAACGTCAAGCTTGGAATGTAGAACAGGATTCAAGTTGTTGATGGTAGGAGCAATTAGGCTTCCCGTTTATTTTCTTGTTTGACTCACAGTTATTTCTAATCACTCGCCACGTATTGAACTACGGCGAGTGATCAGATGATCGGTGGGCGGAGATCGCCGGACCCGCCAGCTTTGAGGCATGATAGGTCGCCGAGGTCAAATTTTTCCATGCGAATTGCGCGTCAGTTCGCACCCTCAGGTGGTCCGTGGTCCGGTCTTTCCATACAAGGCTGGGTGTCAGTTCTTGCTCTTCATGCGTACACCGGTTCATATAATACAATCGTTGAACTTCCTCTATGGTGACGTATACGCAGTTATGCCATTTTGGGTTGGAATTGGATGTAAATGCCACCACTGGAAGCAAGTAGTCATAAGCTTGGGAATAGACTGTGCAAAATTTTTTTAGGCTTGATGCTTCTCCCGGAGCTCTAAATGTGCGGTAACGTAGTTTGCACTGACTGACAACCCTTTCTGAGTCAACCTCTGCCTGTGCTTCGTGTGTTGCCACCGCATTGTTCAATCACCATTTTGAAATGATACCAATTCAGCATGTATCTTATAACCAGTTTTGCTCGAGCCCGCTATCGCGCGCATCACACGGCTTTAGCGAAACTGAAAGACCCATGGAATATCAGCATGAGGTATTCCATTAACCACCTTACAATTGAATGTGTTATACCCGTTCCCAATTTCGCCGGAGTCCATCGAAAATACGTGATTAACGTCTGGCTCTGAACTGGCAATTTGAATCACTCGTGACGCAAATCCTTAATTGGGAGGTGTCACTGGAAGTGGACGTCGTTACTTGATAGAATCTATTGTGGATAGGTGTCATAGGTTTCACTCACTTTTATAGCGACGTACTTTGGATTCGATCATGCAAAGCATGCTAGAGGCGTTTTCGTGCCAAGCGAATTACCTACGCAACCTTCTATCAAGTCACGTTCACTATCCGGGGGTGACACGACCGTTCCCAACTACGTCGAAGATTCTCGCGCACTTTTTTTGTCGGGCGATCATATAATTATATTTCCCAAGGGACTGATCAAGACATCCAGCATTTCTTCTGAATCCAGATAATGTAGCGGGTGAATAACTTCTCGCTGTCAGGTTTCAGAATGAAAGATGAAAATATTGCCATTGTACTATAAGTGAAGTCGGAGAGCTGATACTTATCATTTTATATACATTCGCCATATTTATAGAACTCGCAGTAGGATTTTCTCAGACGGTGTTCTCATAGAGGTTAGCCTTCTTTAGGTATTGATAGAAATGAAACTATGCGAGTGTGCAAGAGACTTGTTTGAGTTATGCATCGGCTTCTATTAAGTAAGCTTCTCAGGTTTCACTTATCAATAAAATGTGCAGGCGTACCACTACAAAAAGATGTTGTATGGGGGACGCGTCTAGTGCGCCGAACCGTAACGGAATTGACGACTTTTTCGTTGTGACGCTCCTTATCAGCTCTTTTTATTGTCCTCGGCTTCTGGCACCCACCAACAATGTCCTTGTCCCACCCCACATGATACTTGCGAGTATGGACGATCTAGTGTCAACGCAAGCTATTGCAACTGAATGGAGCTATTGCAACGGAATTGCGACTTTTTCGTTCTGACGCCCCTTATCAGCTCTTATCAGTTACAATCACTTTCAGTCATGTGCGCTCTAGTACCAATGTGGACCGACATTGGCGATGCTCGCTTTCTAGCCTCTCTTATCAACTACATTATTCTCAGTCTGTTACTCTCCAGTTATAACCTTATGGGCAATGTTTCTAGCTAAGCTGGTGTCTCCCATCTAACCTCCTACTTATAAGAATACCTTACACGTGGCGCATATCATGTACTGCTTTTACTCCAGAGCTATAAATTCCGCCGTCAAACACACGTACACACCACCACAACACTCAGCCGGTGGTCACCAAACAAATCGCCCAAAGAGACGCTTGGCTCTCATCGATAACAAAAAGGAATTCGAAAGAGTATGGAGTGGTCCGCAGTATGGACAGCGCTTGCAAAAAGGGGTGTACATCCGGAACTGATAGGGATGTTGCAAAGACTTTATGAATCTTCTTTCACGTCCGTTCTCGTCAACTCTCACCTACTCCCAGTAACCATCAAAAGAGGCGTCAAACAAGAAGACACACTGAGTCCGAAACTCTTTACTGCCAATTTGCAGGTGGTAGACTGAGGAAGGTGCGACTAAGGATTGAAGGCAAGCTACTTTCCAGTCTTGAGTATGCAGATGACGTTACGCTACTGGCTTCATCGCGTTCTATGCTCGAAGAAATGCTACAACTTCTGACGAATGCATCCGCTAAAGTCGGACTTCTGCTTAACCCTGAAAAGTCAGCGTTATTAAGTAGCAGTAAGACATTCAGGGACCCAATCTGTATTGATGGAAAGACTTTCAACTTTGTTGATCACGCCCTTTACCTTGGCTGCCGTCTCTCCTTCCCCCTAAGCCGACCAGCCGAAATTGCGCACCGAATGCTTTCAAAAAGCCGATATATATAGTAGGATTTATTTGTGAAATGCATTTTTAATCCAAGCATGGAGTTTGGTGGCATGGTGATGGCTACCGGTACGTGCAAATGACCCCTTACTTGGTTGCTTGCTCGTCCTGTCAAAGGTCAATCGCGCGAAGAAAGAGGTCCCATTACGCGTTCTTCCATGATTTTCTTTGCATTTTTCGCCACTGGGGCATTACATCATCCCCCTTCCACTAGACCCAACTCAATGATATTATTATCTCTGACCTTGAAGGAATTGTTGCGTAGCCTAGAAAAAAACCAATTCGAATAAATACTCACGTTTGCAAAATCTTGCAGCTTTACATTAGAGTACTTGACGTCGTCTCCGATTCCATATACATATGGCTCTAGCTCCCATTGGTTGAGTGCGAAATCGAGCACTGTGTCACTACTCATGGATGAGTGAAAGTAGCTTATACTAAAGAGAAAGATGAACGAAGGTTTTAGATTCCCATTTCCACGCTCTATAAATTCTCAAGCAATGCGGAAATCACCTACGAGTAGAAATTCATTGACAAGTCTTCTCCTGGTGGAAAATTATCTCCTCTGGTGCAATTTCTAGAATTGAGAATGGCCAACCTCTGATACTTGCTATTCAGATCCTAAAAAAATCTAGAATGAAGCGGTATGAGGTCCTGGGTATTACGATTCAGATATTAAACTACCAGTTGGCGTCGCACGCGTTGCGCGCACAGCACACTGCGGCGATATAGGATGGTGCGGCGTGAATTTTCGAATTTGGCCCAATACACTTCGAATATTTGACTTTCAAGCTGAATTCTATCCGATTGCCCCATGCTTCATCCACCGATGGCTTTTGACCTTCCCTCCTTCCTCCACCAATTGTCCGTAATCGTCAACCAATTGTCCGTTTTTCCCGGCCTCGGACTGCCTCCGGACCGATTTATGAACCTCGTGGTAAACTCCGCCTATTTCTTTGCATGTCCCACCTATCTTTTTCTTCCTCGCCAACCTCTTCCCACCCAATCTCTGAACTATCTCTGAGCCGATTTATAATTTTGGCGGCGAATCCTGCTCTTTTGGTGTACACCATTAGAAATTCACTTCCTTTCCTTCGCCCACTTCTCTCCCGGTCTCCAGGACTTCTTGCAGCCGAGTCACAAAGTTTTGTGGAGAACTGTGTCAGGACTTCTTGCAGCCGAGTCACAAAGTTTTGTGGAGAACTCCGCCCACTTGGAAATGCCCCGCCCACCAACAGCAGTTGGGCTCCACTCCTTCACCCACCTCTATCCACCTTTTTCCCGGTCTCCGGGACTTGTTGGAACCGAGTTATGAATTTCCGTCGCAAACTCCGCCCACTTGGTGTACGCTCTACCCACCAATAGCAGCTGTCCTCCCGTGCGTTGTCGGACTCGACCACTCTTTTCCCGGTCTCCTGGATTTTCGGAACTAAATTGGTTTGGGGCAAACCCCGCTTAAGTTGGTGCCCGCCCCACCCGCTAATAGCAGTTGACCTCCCTCCGTTGACGAACTCAGATCACTTTTTTCCCGGTTTCCAGGACTTCTTGGGACTGAGTTTTATGAGTTTTCGTGGATGATTCCGCCCAGTTTGGGCATGCCCCGCCCTACGACGACAGTTGAGCTCCACTCCTTCACCCGCCTCAATCCACCTTTTCTCCTGGTCTCCGGGACTTCTTAGAACCCAGTTACGAATTTCCGTGCAAACCCGCCCTCCTTGAACTCCTCCACCTATCTCTATCCACCTTTTTCCGGCTCATTAAGACTTCTCCGGCCCGAATTATGAGGACTTGTAGAAAACGCTGTACACTTCAGAGCGCGCTCCGCCCATTGTGGGCGGCCTCCGCCCACGTCATGTATGCTGGGAACACCTTAGACATTGCTCCCCTACACCAATTTGTTTTCTGCTCTGTAGGCTTTCTCCCAACCGAGTTATGAAATTTTTCATAAAAGCACTGCTTTTTGGAGAACGCCCCGCCCACCGGGGGTGGGTCTCCCTAATTCGATGTGACTTACCAATGCACACCTTTACCCACTTTTTGGCCCAGTTTCGAGGTTGTTTTGTCACTGAAATTGAAATCTTGGTCGTCAGTACAGTTCATTTCGATGCACGCACGCCACGCCCACTGTGGGCGGGGCTCCGCTAGCTGATGTGTGTTTTGTACTTCGTGAGACCTTTGCCCACCCATCCCACACTTGACCCGGTCCCTCCAGGCGGATCCCGAGGAGCTAGGGAATTTCGTGACAGACATACAGAACGACAGACGAACGACAGACGAAGCGCTTTATAATAGTAAGTACGATGACAGTTAACTGATTAACAGTTGACTTGTGATTTCTCTTAGCACCATTATCGTTAATGACCTGAAAGCATTCAGCTTCTTCATGCTTCATGGTCTCTGAAAATCTAGCTTATAACTCCAGCTGTATACTTTCAGCAATGCTATATTCAACCTTGAGTAATGAATGGAGACCATTATAGTATTCCATGCCATTCGTAGGAGACTAATATAATGGTCCCCTCTCATTACTCAAGGCTGTGTATAGATTCAGAGATGATAAAGGGGTACAAACACTACGCGAGCTGAGTCGTGAACATCATCATGCGATCAAATGCAACGGTTAAGCTTGATATCGATGTGATGCGCGCAGCCGCTATGTCAAAGGCGATTTACTATGAGGAAGAATCATGGAAAGTTAGGACATTTTATGATGTTCCTCACAAAGATCACACAGGAAAATCAATCAAGTCTTGCCAAAATGATTGTATCACGACGCCTCGATACACAGATCTTCAGAAGTTTTACATTTTTGGATCTAGAAAGAAGGAAGACAGGATGAAGAATCAATGAAACCGCGTCAAGTTGGACGTCTGATGATGCGTTTGTCACATGATATACTTGACTAACTGTAATATCATGAGGATTACCATCGAGAACATGGACGAACTGCCTGGTAAGTGCCCGCCAAGCTTGACAGCAATTCCATTCGCTACTGATTGTCTGAATTTGTTCAGCCTTTGGCCAATGTAAGCGTTTAGCTGCGGCTCTGAAACGTATCATCATTATAAACAGCTGATATGAAGAGGCATTTTCGAGGTTTCGTGAAGTCAAGCTATCAAGTAGATGCTTATCTTGTTTGATTTCGTGTAAGTTTATGAGAAGTTTGTTTCAAACCGAAATCGACATGACAAGAATTTTGACAATTCACGCTTGAACGCCTTGACAATAGCGCGTGTTTTTACTTTCTTACTCCACAGCAAACCACGACACCTTACGATGTGCGTTAACTGCGGGAGTCGGAACCGCAGCCAACCTGTCCCAGTGAGTTAGTTAGATCCATGTTATAGGAAAAAATATAATAAAGTTTTGTATGTATACTAGAAATTAGGGAAACAAGATGAGGCGGTCATGGGAAATCTGTACAACTAGAGTGGAACAAAAACATGTTCACTGGGAGGGTTAAAAAGATGGATAAAGCATTTGCCGTTGATCAATCCCTTTTGGGATGCGGCACGCATTCTACTTCCATTTGTACATTCGTAGTGGCGTTTGAATGCGATGTGGCCTATACAATGACTTGCGGGGGCCAGCCGATGTACAAGTCAGTGTTTTTATCCTCCCAGACAAGTCTGGTACCAATTAACCGACCCCGGAGGGATGGAAGGCTTGGTTGGCCCGGGCGACTCACGACCCAGGATTTGATCCCCGGACCGCTCGCGTGGTAAGCGTGCCACTTTCACTTCCGCCTCCTGACTGTCACTCAAGGGTAATAAACGAGAAACCACATGGTCCTTTCAAAGAGCTCCTCTCCGCTTGAAAAAGGAGTATCCAGGGAATGGACTGAGGGCGGCATGTTGATAGACGGCCTCGAGCAGTTTTCAGGCATTATGGAGCAGTTTCTTGAATGCACTAACGTCTCCATGATGTCAGCAGCAGGTGCTCGCCTTCCACACTCTTCGTGAATCGTAAACCACTAGATTTGAGTTAAGACTCTAGGTAACCACTTTCCAAACGCAACAATCTCTGAGCATTTCAGTTGGAAATAACTTCATAAATTCCCTCGTGTGCTGGCTTTACGAAAAAGTTTAATGAGTTTAATGTTTACCCCCTTGATTCATTGGAATTATTGGAGAAAGAAAAAGTTTGAGATAGTCCTTCCCCATATCTTTTATGCTTTGTGGAACGAAACCAAAAGTGACATGATTTTCGGTTTGATCGCCGCAAAATCTTTCACGACGTTCTCGGACCGATGTCTGAGATGTTGAGATTTCGCTAGCTTGAAGTTTTTGTCGCTCCATCTATTCAAGATTACCTTGGTTGTGAGTACTTCTCCATCGAAAAGGTTGGCAATATCTAATTAAGACAACGCCTTCGTCCAGCTCCAGTTCCTTTTCAGTTTACTCGCTCCATTGGATAGCTAAGCCCTTCCACGTTCACGTGCCTTCGCCACATGATGCCTTCTTACGATTACTTGCAAAGAAGTCGTGATTGTTAACACGGGAGAGAAACGACGGGTTGAATGTGCTAAGTTCATCATTGCTTGGCGCCTTCTTATATTGCTCTTGCTGATAACAAAAACTTTTCTTCCATGTCCAATCGAATCGATCCTAGCACCCAGTTTTTTCTTAGAGATCCCTATTCGCTCTGTAGCGTAAGGCGGATGTCATAGTTTGAGAATCGAGCGAATCGCTGCGAATGAACATCGTGTCAATATAACCAATTGCGCAAATGCTACACTCAAAACTCCATCCGTTTAATTTTACAATTGTATGGGGTACGCTCTTGTTAACGTAATTTCTAGACACCCTGTAGAATCAAAAGCTCAACATGAACAAGCGCCTATGAAACGATATCCCAGATGAGCCATCCCAGATGAGTATTTCCCTCATGGCTCTATGTTGTTTTTGACGGTGTTCGCCTTCTTCAAGTTTTCGGCTTTCGTACAATGCATGTTATACCTGACGAAATGTAGAACTAACTAGAGACGAGAGGGAGTGAGAGAATAGTGAAGGCAATATGATAACCGCGAATAAGAAGGAAGATCCAGCTTATCCATTCATCTGTAGTGATATCCCGAATGAGAACTCGTCTTTATCCATAAGGCGATAGTACATTAAGTTCTTGTGCAATGTTCACATGAGAATTCAATGTAAGATGAACGCAGAATGGTACCAGAATATTCACCTAACTAATTTTTTCTGATTTGAAACCTGACATTATGTTGTTGAAGAGAATCGAACGGATAGCTAAATCTTTAACCCTAGAATAACGTCAAGCTCATTTCGTGTATACCCCTTCTGCACTGCTAATATCTCTTACATCAGTCTTGAGTCTTCACTACGGTGTTCCATCCACCGATTCAGCTATACGAAGTTTTCCTGGACGCATTCTGCTCTCCTTTCTAGGTTTACGCATTAGTGCTCACGAATACGGTGGTTTAGACTTTCGAATGGTCACTGGTTACAGCTCACTAAATTCATCCAATCCTTGCGATTTATAGGGAATTTCGATTCGAATCACACCCATGTTGGGAGTGTCCTCGACCTTTTGTTATTGAGCATGAATTCAAAAAATCTACAACGTTTGATTTCAAATCAGGCAGTCGTCAAGGCGTTGAACCGCGTGAATGATATGGGAATGGAACCTGAGCGATCGACTTGAGCCTGTTCCTGGAAGAGTATGTTTTCCCGCTCTTTGTATCGTTCGAAACGGAAAATAGCACACATATTTGAATTGCTTTTCGAAACTAACACTAACGTTGATTCGGAAGCCTCACTCCTCTATACGATTGCAATACGATTGCGAAAGAAGCTATGGGAAAATATTGGAAATTTGCCAACTCACGCAGGTCTACTTTCTGTGCACTTCCTTCGTCATTGAATAGGAGGATCTGAAATTCATTTGTTGTTTATTTTAGTTGACCGAAATGCTTCCCAATAAAGTTTTTCTCTATTCCAACTGCAGAGCTGCGAATGTACCAGGTCTAGAATAGGCTGTGAGATCAAGGCACAGATTACTTCCACTTTTGCTCCCGTCAATACGGCGGAAATCCAGTTCGAGGGCAATCCTTGTTATTTTATTTTCACCTAGAGAGCAATCCTTTTGGGGTTCCAAACACTAAGGGCTAGACAAAGTCTTTGCGCATTTGCAAACTTTTTTCAAAATTCTTTTCTTCTTTAGTACGATTACGATTAACACACTACAGAGTCGTCAAAACGTTGCTCTTCAGCAGATAATTTCTGCTGTAATTATTTGATTTATTTATTTCCATACGTCCAGTGGACGTGCTTAGTAGGTATGCAGAGTTCAAATAGATACTATCAGCAACTAAAGGACAGCAGTCGTACTCAGTTATAGTCACAACAATTAGGGTGGGTGGTTTCCAGTCATTCAGACCCGAATTTCTGAGACAAAAAGCTTGAAGGGTTCTCTCCAACTACGTCTCGAATCATCAAGCTTTCCCTCTTTCAGTTGATCCGTAGCAATGGAGGCAGATGGTGGTCCGCTGGCGCTGAATCTGCTGAAAGCCACAGGCGAGTACCAACAACCCATGAGAGAGATTTTGCTGGATCTCCTTCAAAATTCGTTGACGAGCGTTCCCGAGATGAAGTAAACTTTTCGATTTTTCGAGACCATGATAGCAAACCGATCCACTTGCCAACACTATTTAATTGTAGCATCGAAGTTCCTTGGTAGCAGCTCTCTGGAAGCGAAACACCTGCAGCTTCACGAGCTCACAAAGTTGCCTCCTATGTGACACTTCTGGAATCGGCGTCGCCATCCTTGGTTCTACTCGTCCATTCAGTTATGCTTTCGCGTGGGTTTTGTTAGGGTCTCACCTTTAGTAAAAAAGACCAAAAAAGTTGTCTGGTCGAATGAGAGAAAGGCGCTAAACCAAATGTTCGTTATTCGCCTTCCGATGGTTGTGACAAGTCAGGTCGCGAATATCCTTCCGCCATAATTTCACTTCTTTTCGAGGCAATATTGAGAAGCTGCCATTGTGTTTCGACAACACTAAGAGCACTCTGCCAGTTACTGTTTGCATTGCACGGGAGCCTCTTTCCAGTCAACTTCAGACTACACTATTTATTAGCAGTCTATACATTTAGTAAAAAGCGATTTTCAGCCTCAAACGCTGCGATGTGCTACGACAGAAACGCTCTGGATAGAGGTTTGACCACCGCTCACACAGGTTTCACAGTGAATGTTTCAAAACGATCCTAAAAGATTTTGCAAGATGAGAAAGAAAATGCGCAAGGAACTTTTCGACAACTTGATAATATGGGAACAACTTATTTGAAGTGCAGTTATGATAAGAACAAATGAGTGTCCTACATCGGTTCTTATCATAACTGCACTTCAAAAACTTGTTCCCATATTATATCCCCCACCTGCACACATCCTGTCCAGGTTTCTGCACCAGGCCATCGAACCTGGAGCTCCTCCGTCCTCAGGCCAAGGCTAATATCTCCATCCCTTTGTTTGGTAAGGTTTTCCTGGACCACTGCATCCAAATTAAGGAAGCACCTCAGGTACTTCCACACTACACCGCTACTTATCGGAAGGTTACTTAAAATGAGTCGATTAAGTGTCATGAGCCTTTTCATCCTTAATACTAAGAGTATCGTAGAACACAATGTAATGACCGTCCCCCCCCCCAGAACTATATTTTCAGCAGATACTGACGTGCGCTCTCTTGTATTTATTTCACAATGCAAACTCAAAATTTTTCGCGGATGGTGGAATCTCGTTTCCTTTTAATATGGACACCACGATTCTTTGGGAACAAAATGTCCACGAGCAACGCTTTGTGCTAAGGGATCAATACAGCAGGATATGATTCACCCACATAGTCGCTGAAAATGCTCACACGTCACAGAAGCCGCACTAACCAAGTACTGAGCGAGCTCACGACGATCAGATTGGAAGGACGCTGAACGGAAGCCTCGCACGGCCTCGGGCCTGACGCGGCTTCTGCTCAACTATCTAGGTATTCGACTCGCTGTTTCGCCCGATGTCTGTGACGGCTAACCATATTTCTGCAATGGCTGTCACTCTAAGTAAGGCAAGAGAAAGAAGAGCGAGAACGGGAAGTGCCGTCACGAACTTTGCGTCTCTCTGACTTTCACCACCACTTCTTTTATCGAGCGTCACACCTTCCGGATGTACTTTGATAGGAAGCAGCACCTACCACTTTGCGTGCCGCAGACGCGATGCTGCCGCATTGCAACAAACACGGACTGTTACTTTACATTTTGTCTACAGCTGCGCCACTGCACACTTAGCGAACGAGGATAGAAGGACACTGTTAATAGTGGCAAAGCTTACAGATATATTATC